ACTTAAAATTCGATTTATTTTTCTTGTTTTTCTTTATTTTTGTCATTCTTTACCAAATTTTATGTGATTTATATTTCATATATATTTTTCGAGATACATTATATATTTTGGAATTAATATTATACAATAATTATAATAAAGAATCGTGCTTTTTTTTTAAATTTATGCTAATGGCTTTGTTCAACACTGTAATTCAATATTTCAAGCTTGTTTATCCTGCTTATCGAATGTGAATCGAACGTTGTTTGGTTTTGCGAACTGCGAAAGAGAAAATGCGTGTAGATATCGTAAAAAATATTTTTAGAAACCTATACAGAACACACGCACAACACACACACACACACATACATATACATGCACACGCAAGTTCTCACTCTCCTCTTTCTGACTCACGAATAATATTTGAAAAGATTCTTTTTCGTCCTCGTCATCCTCGAATTTAAATTCTTATAAGATGCATGGTCACGAGATAATGGCGATAAAATAAAATTCAACAAAAATTGAACGAAATTTGGGGAGAAAACAAAAAAAAACAAGGTTAAAGTATTATCGTTGAGTAAATTTTGTTCTTTCTTGTTGCTAGGAACATTCGTTAATGTGAAAACTTTCATCTTAAGGACTCGTTTTCATTGCGCGAAACGTCGGTATTTATGCGATGTCGCAAATGGGTCCTCGACGCGTTTTAGAAACGTTTAATGGGAAGGAAATAATGACCTAGTATGAAGAAGAAGAAGAAGAAGAAATAGAAAAAGAAAAAGAAGGAAGAAGAGTAGAAGAAACAAACCGGTTTTGCGTTAAACTCATCCTAACACTCGCCATTTTGTCGCAATATTTATCATCAATTAAACAAAAAAATTTCATTTTCGTTCAATCATTATCTATATTAAAAATCTAATTATTATTTATTAATTATTATTATTAAAATCATTCGATTTTGATGCGTAGAATTATTTTGGCATTAGAACAAATACAAATATTACAAAATGTACAATTGAATTCGTCGATATATCTAACTCTTAACAAGAATTACAAGTTTCTATGCCAAAATTTGGATCTCTCTAACTATTAGTTGAAAATATTCCATTTAGTTAACGTGTGAATTATTTCTTGTCCGAAATAATTGTTCAATTCGTAACAGTTTCCATATTCGTTGGGAGTATTACGAAAAGTTGTCCTTCTTATCGAAATAACTTTGACTGAATTTGCACCGGTCCATTTTGCCGTTCCGTTTCTTATTCTTAAGAAACTTTGTATTTCGAGTTTCCTGGACGTTCTTGTTTTAGAATTTCCTAACTACTTGTTCGAACTTAGTTCATAGAAGTTTCAACATGCCAATTAAACGTTTTTACTCTTTAAAATCTCATTAAACGTACGTTTTATGTAGAATATATTATTAAACACGTGTGTGTGTGTATGCTTGTGTGTGTGTATACGTCTCAAGTTTTAATATCTAATTATTCAATGGGTGTTGCAATATCTAATTTTCAAGGCTACAATTAACATAAATTGCATTAGGAACAAATTAGTATCACCATTTATTTACAGGATCAAATTTTTATTTAGGAATAAATATATGAAAAGTAATTTAATATAAAATGAAGGAAAAATATTATTTTTGTTTTATTTCATACAATTTAAAAATTTGGAGTAACATATTTTTAATTTCTTTTTTCTTCTCTCGTTTTTCATTTATATATAAAAATAAAAATATTATATATATAAAAAAGCAAATGTAAACAAATGCATTACCTGAATGCTTCTTGGAACAATACTGAAAATATTAATCCC